GTTTGGATCCGCTCGCCCCCTCCGCTTTCTTCTCTTGTTCGTAGTGCCCTCCGTCCTCGCTCACTGTCGTTGTGGAGGTCCCCCCACGAACCTGCGCACCGGCTGCCAGTGCTTAGCCCCAGGTGGGCAGACAACGCGCCAAACTTACACAAAGCTAGCCTACGCCTGGGCCCTGACTCTGATCGCTTCGCTCTGGTAGCTGAGTTCGTTGAGGAGGCCAAGGCGGACCTGCTCACTTGGGGCGGGACGTCTCTGATGAAGACCTGTCGCCAGCCTCTCGCGGCTGGGGTTTTCTCCCGCTAGTCTGGAACACGCGCGCGCGTGACGGCAAGGCCCACGGCTTGGCCTCGAGTTCCCCTGGAGACTGAACACGGGTGACGCACATTAGGAGCGCCGTGGAAGCCCCCGCGTGTCGATGAGTCCCCTTACCTTACATTCGCACACCCCTACGCGTTACTTGTCCTGACCCTGAGCGGGGGGAGCGTTTATTAAACTTCATCGAGAAGTGGCCTGTATAGAAGCGCGCTGGCAGTCGCAAGCTTTCCTGCCCAGCTACTTGTAGTCATTGGAGGAACAACATGACTACAAACTATTTTCAATATTTTTCAACCATTCTTGATGAAAAAGTTTTGACTCCCAACATTGATAGAGGCCTACAACTTCGGGTCATCGATCGAACCTAAATTCTCACGTTTCGAACGATAAGGCAAACGAAGCTCGAACTCGTTTGCCAGCGCGTGGTGGACCTCGACTGCTCGTGGCGGTCCACCTGCGACGGTGAGGGATTTGTTGCAGTTACACAGCAGCCTTCTGCCTATCGATTTGCGTGACCGGAGTTGAGATCGAACGGTCCTGACTCTACTAGCTATTCAGGCGGCCTTTGGCTCGTTGTATCATGAAATTGCATTATCGTTAATACTAGCTTGGAGCGTCCGATAACATCCCTCCCACTAGGATCCCCCTCCTCCCCAAAATAAGAAACCAAACAAGGCAAAGACGTAAGCGATATGCGTTCTCAAATTTCGAAAATTTTCCACGTTTTGCCATCGTTTGAGGATTGGGCCTCGTGCGTTTGAAGTCAAGGGCTAAGATCCCGAATCTTTTTGACTTTAAGCCGTTCCGCTGAAATTCAACTTCTTGGATTTGCGTTCTTCAAATTTCGAAAATTCTCCACGTTTTACGGTCGTTCTGGGATTGAATTTAGTGCGTTTGAAGCGCTAAAGTCCCAAAGTTTTTAAATTTCAGCCCTTTCCCTGCGATTCAGTTTCTTGATTTGCATTTTTCAAATTTCAAAAATTTTACACATTTTGGCGCCGTTTTGGGGTTGAATTCTGTGCGTTTGAAGTGCTAAAGTCCCAAAATTTTTGATTTTAAGCCCTTTCCCTGAGATTCAGCCTCTTGGCTTCGCGTTTTTCCAATTTCGATAATTTTCCACGTTTTTCGTCGTTTTGGGAGTGAATCCCGTGAGTTTGAAGTGCTAAAATCGCAAAATTTTTGACTTTAGGCACTTTCTCTGGAATTTAATTCCGTGGATTCGCGTTTTTTCAAATTTCGAAAATTTTCCACATTTTTCGCCATTTTGAGAGTGAACCCCGTGGGTCTGAAGTGCTAAGATCCCAAAGCTTTTGACTTTAAGCCCTTTGCCTGGAATTTAATTCCTTGGGTTCGCGTTTTTTCAAATTTCGAAAATTTTCCAAATTTTTCGCCATTTTGAGAGTGAATCCCGTGAGTCTGAAGTGCGAAGATCCCAAAATTTTTGATTTTAAGCCCTTTGCCTGGAATTTAATTCCTTGGCTTCGCGTTTTTTCAAATTTCGAAAATTTTCCACATTTTTCGCCATTTTGAGAGCGAATCCCGAGCGTTTGAAGTGCTAAGATCCCAAAATTTTTGATTTTAAGTCCTTTGCTTGGAATTTAATTCCTTGGATTCGCGTTTTTTCAAATTTCGAAAATTTTCCACATTTTTCGCCATTTTGAGAGCGAACCTCGAGAGTTTGAAATGCTAAGATCCCAAAATTTTTGATTTTAAGCCCTTTCCCCCGAAATTCAATCCCGTGGCTTCATGGTTTCCCGGTTTCATGGTTAGTTTCATGGTTTCATGGTTTCATGGTTTCGTAATTTCATAATTTCATGGTTTCGTAATTTCATGGCTTCGTAATTTCATGGTTTCATAATTTCATAGTTTCATGGTTTCGTGGTTTCATGGTTTCACGGTTTCACGGTTTCACGGTTTCACGGTTTCATGGTTTCATGGTTTCATGGTTTCATGGTTTCGTGGTTTC